TAGTTCATTATAGATCCGTCTATATAAAACATGTATCCGCTATAAGTATTAATAAAAAGCTCGGACCAAAGAGGTCACCTTAATACTGAAAAAAAAAAAATAATTTAAAAGCAAGCTTTTCTTTGTAAAAACTTTAATTGAATTTCAATAAAATTAAAAGCATAGCCTTATCATTAATATTTAAAAAAAAAAAACCAACAAGAAGAACTATTAATGTTATATAACTAATAATTCACCTGGTATGCAATATATAAAAAAATTATTTTACAATACCAGATCATTCTGCTAATACATATTATGATTATAATCTAATACCATTTTTATTATAATAAAATAATATTAGATTATAATTATAATATATATTAGCAGAATGATCTGATATTGTAAAATAATTTTTTTATATATTGCACACTGAGTGAATAATCAGTCATGTAATATTGATGGGTCTTCTTGTTTCAATAACTAAATACATACAGTAGATTAAATATATAAATTTTAAAATAAAGCTTTGGCAAAACTATTTACAAAAAAGTAATTAAAATTCATAACTATTTATTACTAATTAAGTATAGCTCTTTATTAATTTATGAAGTGATTTTAAATATATATGCTTTATTAATAATACTTGAAAATAGTTTGCAATATAGTTTAAAATTGAAAAAACATTGGCAATGCACCCTATATAGAGAAATAAATTCTATTTTATATTATTTTTAATAAGAGATAAGCAGTTTTTTGAATATATACCTTCAGATTTTGAGCAATTCTTCAATTAATAACATATTTCCAAATTATTTCTTTTATTTGTAAATCATTACAACTGATAAGTGAAATTTCATTTTATGATAAGTTTAATGTTCAAGGTTGATATATTAAACAATTATTTAATAAAGCAAAAAAAAAAGACATATTCATTTTTTATTATAGATAAGAAAAAAAAAATCTCTCTTAAAATCTTTGTTAAAAGCTGCATAGATTAGATATAATCACTAGAGTAATTCTTAATTAAAATGTATTAAAAAAAAAAAAAGAACTAAAAAAAAAAGAATAAAAAAAAAAAAAATTCAAAATTATCTAATTATTATTGCAAAAAAAACTTAGTAATGTTAACCTGCTTTTTTCAAAAAGCAGAGTATCTTAAACCTTTTTTTTCAATCTACAAACAGTATTTCTATCATTATTAGTAGTTATAAATCATTAGATTGCTGTAAAAGATACATTTCAATTAAATCCAAAGCTTTTAAAGCATCATGATCTGTAATTTTAGATACTGGTTCTAATATTTTTTCTTCAGTAGAATGATCATCCTTACTCTTAATATTGTGAATTATATTATCATCAAATGGCATCTCAAAAGCAACATTAGTGTCAATGTCTACAATTTATCTCACATCCATAGGAGCATTAATTTTACTACTTATTGCTAAATTATTTATTAAAATATTAAGTTTATCAAATTTATTTTTTAACTCTAGCTCTAACTACTGGCATGTCTAATCTCTTTCTGCCACTTGGTATCAAGAAAGAATACTTGTTTTTAGCCAAAAGTTCATAATTGTTTTCTGAGTAATGTTGTTCTATACATCTGAAGTAGCATTAATTGCATTGAGAATATTAAACTCATCAAGTACAGAAGAATTTGTAACCTTTATTTTGTCAAACACATTAAGTCGATCTTTTACAAAAATGCTTTTATAATGGCATTTAAATGAATTAATAATGCTGGCATCATATAGCTGAAGGTGGGCAGTTATATTTTTGGTATCTTTTCAATATGAATATTGTTAAGTTCAACTTGTCAAATATAGGTAGTACAACAATCTACAAAAAGAAGTATATAGTAGTTTTGGAGCCTTATTTTTTTGTCAATATACTCTAATTAGTCATTATATATAGAGACCTGCATCTATACAGTTTCATTCTAATAATATCAAACTGATAATGTTTTTTTATTTAAATTTTAAATAGCATGTAGATTCTCAGATATATGAATAAATACAGAAGGGAGCTTTTCTGTTTCAGTTGCATTTGCAAATATCATAGTTACTCATGCCTTATTTTTTTTATAACCTAAGACAGAACTACATGCAAGAGTTTTTGATGGGCACATTCTCTAATAAAGAGATGTTTCATTTATATTCCAGATATTATCAAGTGTATACTCTTCACATATTGCTTGAAGACACTCTCTGTAGTTATTCAGAGATTCTATTGATAAGGAACTAGCAGTCTCATCATTTCTAGTATACTGATAGAGACCAAATTATTGTTAAAAATTATTAACCCAACTAGTATCTTTAAAGTTAGTAATGTTTAGAGTTATAGTGAATGTTTTGGCTTTGGTAAGTAAAGCTGTTTGATTTAAATTCATATTTGTTATAAGAGTGCTTTTTACCTAAACACACATAGTTTCATCTAACTTGAACCACTTTGGTTGATGATCACATTTACAGTTTGCCTCAGCTTGGTTGGTTGTATCGATGTTTAACTATTTAAAAGATTGTTTAAAAATATCAAATATGTATGTCTTTTTAACACCATAATCTTCAGCAAGTTCAATATTTAGAATAAATAGAAGCTTCTGCTTTTTTCACAAATTTCTTTCTTTTTTTTAGCTATGAGATGCTTTCTTTTAACAGGTGTTTTAACTTTAGTTATTATTTTTATACAGTTAAATGAAACATGTTTGTGTTAAAAATTTGCAATTTTTTTTTCTTAAAAAAAAAAACCACTCTTGCATAAATTTTGCACATACTATACCTACAACTAGGGGCCTGCAAATTGCCTATTTTTGAGACCTGGCCTAGCCCACAGTTAGGGTTAAAAATTTTTTTTAGGTCCAGCCTGGCCTGACCTGCAATTATAAAATTTTGCTTCAGGTTTGGCCCAGCTCGCAAAAATTTGTGGGCCAGGCTGGGCTGGGCTGGGCTGTAGGACCCAATACAGGCCTCTATCTACAACTTTACTACAAGATAACTTAGAGGCATTTGATTCAGTGATTTAGTAATATTGGATAGCAAAATTTTTTAGATTAGTAATACTAGACAGACAGAGAATTAATAAAAAACATTTAGAAGTTCAATCGAGCTATTAGAGTTATAAACTCTAGAGCTGATAGTTTTACTCAAAATTAAATCTTGAATGTTTATTTAATAAGTTTTTTTTGTAAATTTTTAATTTTTTAATTTTTTTGTTTTAATTTTTGTTTTAATTTTTGGCAGGTGTATTTAGAAATATAAAAAAAAAAAATAGATGAAATTGTTATTTAAAATCCAAATATGAATGTCAAAGTTGCTAGCAAAAGTGATAAAGATATGAATGTTAGAGTTGCTAATATAAGTGAATATAATTATTTGTTCTTATTTATATTATACTATTGATAACATTTTGATCATAATAAAAAAAATTTTTTTTCAAAGATTTTTTTTTGCTTACAAAAAAAAAAAAAATTAAAAAAAAAATATTAGCAATATTTAGAAAATCTATGAAGAAAAATTCTTATTTTTTATAATTACTATTTAGAGTATAATATCTGTATAATTTACTTAATTGCATATAATTTAAGAAACTCATATAACAAGGAGTGTGACGACCTAGTGAAGTGGATAGGTTGTTAACCCCCAAGTGGCAGGTCTAGAGTTCAAATCCCAGTGACGGCGAAAATTTGCAATTCTTTCTGTATTATGGCTAAC